ATTACTATTACAATAAATATATACAATATACAAGTGCACATGGTGCACACAGTATGCAGTAAGCATAAAGTGACGTCATAAAGTGACGTTATGATGGGCAAAACCAGCCCTACTTGGCCCTACTCAATTCAAATTCAATTTAAGTCATTAATGTGTAGCCCTAAATCACAACAGTAGTTAGCTCAGAGGGAAAAGCTCAGAATCAAACACACAAGAAATGCAATGATAGAAAACACATTGGTATTGGTCCATAAGGGGCAGAGGACCACTGTCCAATGTCCAATTTTCTCTACTCTTTCCATTGACACCAAGTACTTACAGTGTTTGGTACCTGCTTTTGCGCTGGTTCTATCCAGGCCAAGCTGGTACTAAAGTAATGAGTTTACAGAACTGTGTCTGCATAAAATTTTATTTTTACTGTGATACATCATACATACATCAACATACAATCATTTACGTATAGAGTGGAAGCAAAGGAAGTGTACGACTGACGGCTTACACAAACTTTGTATAGAGTGAACACAATTGGCCCCAATACTGAGCCTTGGGGGACTCCAGCAGAGCAAGTGAGATAAGATGAGCAAGATTGTTCTATTCTTTTAATAATCAGTAATAATCAGGTCACAGCAGCAGAGGTGGAGCCACTTGGTTTGGACCATTTTCTCTGCTCTGGTCCAAAGTAAAATGCTGAAAGTTAGCATTCCTCAAGTGGATTTTTGCCTGAACTACTTGTTTCCGACCATGAATCCTCTCAGCTCAAGCAACATTTTAGGTAAAAAAGTAAGAAATTGTAAAACACAAAAACAACTGTTTTAGAGCCACTTAGGATTTGCTGCCGTTTCCAGCTCGTGAAATTCAAAAGTAAATGTACGTATTCTGTAATAGAGAAAAACACATACAAAGACATTGAATAATTAACATTTTGAGCTCATACTCTTGAATACTGCCCGCCTGTTTGCAGAACATGGACTATTTTGGTGGCATTAAAATACAGTATGACATGTAAAAGAGCTCACACTAAGATGAGGAAGTCTATTTCTCTGAAGGAGGTGAGACAATCGGTCCAAACAATTTCCTTCTTCATTTCTGCTCATTTCTCAGTAAAGTAAATATATTGCTACTATTTTGCAGAGTTTTAATTTAAAAAGTTATTGTAGGATCCATGGGCTGAGAGCAGATTGTAATTCGCTATAGCTCAATGAAACCCATTAGGGAAGTGATTGTGGACAAAGTTTTGCTGCAGCCTGGCTCCTTTATTTATAATACCGGTATATGACATTGTCTTCGTTAATTCAGATAATGAGACATAAGGATTGACCAATCAGTTGCAATCATTGCGGGGAAAACTCCAGCTTGCCTTAGCAACCATGTTAGCAGGTTCTACTTCATGGTGCTATGCCCCTTATTGGCTATGCTATGGGTGACTCCTGTGGCTCCTCCTATAAATAGCCCCGCTCAGGCCTGCACCTGCCACTTTGAACTCTGGCGCCGGGAGATCTACTTCTAGTCCAAGCTACTACAGGAAAATCAAGATGTTGCTGCTTTCTCTGCTCGTCTGATTTCCCTTTCGCCTTCCGGCGTCGGACAAAGTAGGTAAGCGTTGCTGTGCTAGGCTTCACCACAAGGACGAGCACTCCGGTGCTTCTTCTGCTTCCCCTGCCTGGGCTGACAACCCTTTACGGAGGCGCCGCCTGCGGAACGGGCCTCTCACTCTCCCTGACTTCGACCTTTAGGTCTAGGGTCATCAGAATCAGACCCTTTTATCCGCCGCCTCATGCCTCGAAGGAGGAGGAACGGTGGCATCTTTGTGTCCAATCAGAATGTTGAAACGTTACATGGGTGTTACGTCCTCATTCAGGCTTTCTGATCAGCTGATTGTGTGCTTGGGCCCTAAAAACAGGGGCGCTCTGTTGACGTCTCAGCGGCTGGCGCACTGCGGTCTGATGTGTGTGTGTAATGGCTGCCCCAGTCAGGAGCTCTTGGTAGAGGTGTCCTGGGGTTGTGGCCTGCCCTTGTTCCACGAGGGCGGGATGTGTTGCCGTTCCCTTCAGGCGCTCTTGATAGAGGCGTCCTGGGAATGCGGCCTGGCCTTGCCCACAGGGGAGGTGTCTTATAGAGTTCTTAGGGCATCCTTGATAGGAGCGGCCATTTAACTCCGTGGTTTCCTTTTGCCCTTGGAAGGGTCTTGTCAGTGGTCTTCGGCCGTCCTTGATGAGAGTGGCCCTGTAACACTATTTATGCTTCCTTTTCCTGCCCTGAGCCTGCTCACCTTGGTGGTGTTGGGGGAATCTCGGGCAGGGCTCCAATCACTCTACGCTGACCTGATGGGAGTCACGATTACGCGTGGTTACCCATAGCGTAGCCTAAGGGGCATAGCACCATGAAGTAGAATTATTATTAGTTACCTATTGTAACTGTAGTTCTACAAAAAGGTGCCTAGCCCCTTAGCTACGGGCCCATCAGGCCAGCCTGGCTTTGGCTGAGTTCAAAGTGGCAGGTGCAGGCCTAAACGGGGCTATCTATAGGAGGAGCTGGCTCGTGATTGGAGCATTTGATCTAAGGATCTCTCTGGCGGGGGCTAGGTGCCTCAGGAGTCACTCATAGCGTAGCCTAAGGGGCTTCGCACCTATTCGTAGACCTACAGTTACATTAGGTAACTAATAATTTTGCATCTTCAATTAATATTTTCAGTTTTAATCATTTTTATTTTTCACTTTAAATATTATATTCACTGATACTGGTGAGTCAATAGAGCTGGGACTGTGACCATAGACGACCATGTACTGTATATAACCCTCAAGCTCAATTAAACCTAATAGGCAAGTGCTCATGGACAAAGTTTTTCTCCAACTCGCTCCAGCTCCTATTGACCTACCACTTGGATACGCCTTCTGGGTGTTGCTGTGGTGATGCCCCAGTGATATGGATTTAACGTTAGGGTTAAACAGTATTACCTACCATTATTTAGCAGTGGATCCTCACAAACCAGGATGCAATTCTTTGGATTAAATGTTGTTTGTTTAATTGAATGATTTATTTTTGTCTGTGACAGGCCCCCAGCCCAAAAAGGTTTCACCTGAAACTTCAAATGGGAAAAAACTACGAGTTATTGTGGGAATCGTTCTTGTCCTTCTCGTGCTCACAGTCATCGCAGGAGCCATCAGTGGTAAGTTTGCTATATTATAGCTGGGTAACACTTTAATTTAGCCCTCACTAACAAACAGCTGACATCAAGGGAAACTAATATCCATTCATCCGTCTTCTTCCCCTTAATCCATTTCTGGGTCACGGGGGCGGCAGTCAGAGCTGCACCCAGAGCAGCTCCTCTCTGCTCCTCCTGCAGGTGCTTAGTCCACAGGAGGACGGCTGCTCTTGTCTGAGCTGCCTTTATCTTTCAGCGGGGGCTTCAGGTAAAGTGGGGTTTAGTGTCTTGCCCAAGCACACAACGACATCATTAAGAGTCGGTGGAGAAGGTCTTGTGGTGGGTTCGAACCAGTGGGGGCGGGTTTCGGCTCAAAAGTGGCCAAAATGCTAACATATAGCATTGGCAGACCTGTCGAAAACGTCTTTACAGGATGGTCCAAAAGTTGGCTCTTGGCCCAAAGCTTCGTTCCACATGTGTGTCAATGCTGAGGGGGGTGGATTTTTTTGGTCCACTCTAGTTTACTTACTGTGAATTTTTTAAGTCTCTCGTTCAAATGAATGGAGCTGCGCATGCGTCACAATTTTCTTGTGGGCGGGACCACTCGCGGCCATTTTGGATAGCTCCAGTAGAGCACATTTCTTTGGCCCATTAGTTAGAACGGTGGAAATAGGCGTGACTCTGTCCGTTAATATATACAGTCTATGGTTCGAACCAACTGAGCCACTGCCGCCCACACGCGAACTGATTATACAAATAATTTTGATACAAGAATAAACATGAATGTGCTTGTGAATGTTGGAGGACGTTTTAAAATGTTTATTCAGTTTTGTTATTTTATTTTGTAAATGCTTTTTATACTGTATGAGTAGCGGACCCCAGGGAGACTTGCGCCAAACTTTTGAAGCCAAAGGGGATCAAAACAAAACAAATAATCTAACTAAGTGCTAATTAGTGTATAGTCCTAGCCCTATCCAACAGGAGTAAAAAATCATCACTTCATTTTGTCACCCCAAAAAACATCTCAAGGCACACTAACATGTGTTGTCCACTGGTTGGACAACACAGAACTAAACACCAACATTTGTAACTTTTGTCTTATATTTATTGACAGACAGAGTTTATTCCCTGTTTTGACCAGAGACCATGAGAACAAACCCATATGTCTGACTTTCACTGCTGTCCTCCAGTCCTCAGCTCTGTTCTGTCCTCTACACTTCTCCATAGACTTCACAGAGACAGAAGCAGCCGTGGTTAGTAAGCCTCATTTGCTCGGCTGCAGAGGTCTGACATGATCTGGCTTTCACCTGCAGGGGGCGTCAAAATCCACCTCTGTCTCCTGGTTCCATCCATTATTTTAAAAGACTATCCTTTCTATTAATCACAGAACAAAAACTACACTTTGATTTGTTACTTTGGAGACATTGGTACAGCTGTTTGCTCTGTGGAGTGAGGCTTGTTGCTGTGATTATAGGTGTTGTGTTTTTAAGTAGCAATATAAGATTTTCAGGTCAAGTCATCATTAAAGTGCCCTAATGTGTCAAAAGGCATTAATAAACCATGCTCTTTTCCAATACTTCTTTAACTCATGACAGTATGATAATGCTGTTTCAACTACAGTTGAACCTGATGAAATCTCACACAACAAAGAGACAAAGTTAATCTTTTACTTGTTACATTGTACAAGGAGAATGTCTTGACAGAGGCAAGGCACAGACCCCAGCCTCTCTCAGGACAAGTCTGAAGATTCACAGATGGCAAGCCCCTTTTGGTAGAACAAGACACACCTTCGTATGCAGATGGGAAAGGAAGAAACCAACACAACAAAAGACACTTAGCATATGAGCTCCCCAGACCTCCCGGTGTCTTCCTGAAGCTAAAGTGAATTACAATACAGAGCATTCAGCACATAGCCACATATGATTTACCAAAATGATAACTTAAGTGACATTCCAATATCACAGTAGTTCAAGGTTTTACGGCCCCTAAATCTTGTTATTGTTTTCATTTCCATGTCCGCACTCCACCGCTTTACCAATCAGAAAGTCTGTAATTTGGGTTGCCAGAATTCACCTTGTCAAGCTAAGTACCATGTGGCCTCAGAAGTAAAAAAAAGTCTTGTTATGATTCTCAAATCAGAATTTCTATCAGGGCCTTTGTGGAAAAAGGTGTTGGTTATAGATTTGTTGTTGACAAAACTCTTGTCTATTCAGATATTATGGTCCCAGTCTGCATATCTGGCAACCTGAGTCAGGGAGAGTGCAGAACCTCATTTGGCTACATTTTTACATACTACTCCTCTAATGTGTTGTGTTTGTCTTATCCTGGCCCATGAGTCTGTAATAAAAGTTTGATGATGGTGGTGATGATGATGATGTTGAATTGAAGAGACTGAAGGAGTGAAAAGCCTGTATGTTTTCACAGTCTGGCTTTACATGAGAGCACAGACAGATGCACTGACAGGAGCCACAGTCTCCACCCCAATGACAACTACTACTCACGGTACAGCCACCACTGCTTCCCCCAGCACAGGTATAGGTTACATGGACAAAGAAATTATAATGAAAGGTGTTTAATATTTAATCATCTGTCCCCATAGCACCGTGCAAGTTGGTTTGTGACACCGACTGGGAGCTACAGGAAAAGAGGTGCTTCCATTTCTCCACAAATAAATTAACATGGGAACAGAGTCGTGAAGATTGCAAATCCAAGAGTGGTCGCCTGGTGAAGATATTTGGAAAAAAAAAACAGGTACAACATAATACGACAAAAAGCATTCAGAATTATTACTAATCTCTGTGACCAGTATCAAGTAAAAATGTAATAACAAAAGGTTCTCAAGGCAACAGAAAAAGCCTCATTTGAGTTTTCCTCAGGCACCAAAGACACGCCCTGTCCATTTGACGGAGACGTATGGTTGCATCCCAATTCATAAAAATACCTCCTTCCTTTTCAATTACATCAATGCTACTCAATATAATAATAATAATAATACATTTGATTTAAAAGCACATTTCAAAACACCCAAGGACACTGTACAAACATGGTGCAATTAAAAACATTTTCATTATTAAAACAGAAATCAACAGAACTGAACGTTGGGGTGACTGGTCATGTGGGGACAGAAAAAGTGAGTTTTGAGTCTGGATTTGAACGAGGAAGAGAGTCGGTGTTGAGGAGGTCAGGGGGGAGTGAATATATCATTACGTTTCACAAACATATCGAAAGGACACAAACAGAGGTATTTTATATGAATTTGGATGCAGCCTCTGAATCCTCTACGTCAGGCATGTCAAAGTCAAATACATCAGAGGGCCAAAAAAAATGTTTTGCTACGCGCCGAGGGCCGGACTGGTTCAATGTTTCTCAACATCCAGAGGCAGTGCCGGTGACACCTGCTGGCTCGATAAAATATGCTCTAAAGCCAATCCTCATACTGTACACATTAGATGTAATAGACATCTGAGAACATGAAAATAGTAAAAAAAAAAAATAGCTCAAACTTGGTGAAATGTAAAAGAGCTGTCTGGACCTCTTTTCGGGGCGTTTTTTGATTAAATCTGCGGAATGGATTATACTTTGGGAAATACAAGTGGATATTCTTCTTCAATGAACAGTTACGGAGAGAAAGAGACTAAGCAAGGATGGGGAAAGTCTAATTTGTTGGAGCAGCAGAAGACGAAAGGTAAAAAACGAATACAGACGTGATTTATTTTGTGCCCATATTTTGCGTTATATCTTTTTAATGCAAAGTCTGATATCGTTTACACTTACATATAAATATAGCTGAGAAAATAAGCTTTAAAATGATATATAGCTTGTGGCTTATGAAGTTCAAAATACATCTGCTATTGCCAGCAGATGTATTTTTTTCCTCGTTTGCTCCCGCCGGCGGGGGCTAGCGAGCTTAAGGGGTCAATACATTGCCTCAATGGCAGGCAATGTCCCGGGGGCCATAGATAATTCATTCATGTGCTCTACGTCTTCCATTCAAGACTAAGCTAAGACATTTGTTAGAAATGAGGGTATTTAATGACACTAAACAGTTACAGATACATACAGTGCTCTGCTACACGGTGTTGTATCAAGAGAAGATCCACCGACAGAGACGGGGTCAGCAATCACCGACAATATATGAAGTCACAGCAGTACACGTTCTGATTGGTCAACAGGGCACAGGAGGGAAAGGTCACCCAACAGAAACTAACCATGTTTATTTTCTATTTTAGAAGTTTCTATTTGGTAAAGTAAGAAGTTTAATGGAGGATGGTGAAGATAAGTTCTGGATCGGACTGACAGACTCAGCAGAAGAGGGACAGTGGAGGTGGACCGACGGCTCTTTGCTGAACTCAAGGTGATTTTTTTTGCACAAATCAGGTATTGTCCAATGGAAATAAACTCTGTTCATTATTCTGTGTTCATTTTGTTTTTGTGGTTTAGTTCCCAATTTTGGTTTAAGAGTACAAATGGTGACCAAACTGAACCAGACAATTGGAAAGGTGATAATCCTGAAGGAGAAGACTGTGTGCGGATGGGAGAGAGATCCTCCGGCTTTGAGATGAAATGTTGGTTTGACAAAGACTGCAACACGCTTCAGAAATACATCTGTGAGAAGAGCTCGACCTGTGAAAAACACAGAACCTAAAGAACTGAGGTGTTTGCAGACCTGGGTTTAGAGATTTTACTGTAATCAATCAAACTCCTCTCTTTCCAATTTACGATCTACCATTGAATCCTCCCCACACACTCACCTTATTGATATGCAACACAAGCATTCACCAATAATGTAACGGTAACTACTGTTATACACAAATAAATTGAAGTGAATGTAATCGATGAGCACCTCTGAAGTAAGATGTCTTCTTTGGGAGTCCAGTCGCCACAGAGCAACAGTAAACAACATACAGTATACACAGGGAAGTTGTTTTATTATTCTGTGACTTTGAATCCCCTGTTTTTCATTTATGTTTCATTTTTAATGCTTTTCATATTTCTAAATATTATTTTTATACTCATTAATGGAGCTAATTTGTACTGTTTTGCCTTCATTGTGTTTATGGTCTTGTGTGCAGCAGTCCTGTTGTTCAAGTGTGCCATATAAATAAACTGGTTTGGACTGTGGTCATGGGTGGATTCGAACGTCAATGTTTGCTGTTGTCTTTCTGCAGATACTTATATGTATTTTGTTACTGCATGAATAAAATGACTTTGACCAAGGATCTCTGTTTAAGATTAAGTTTCTTTATATTCTAGTGCAAGAAATATATAGTTTAACTTGTATGTGTGTATCTGTACATGTTTGGACGTCAGAACTATTTTCTGAGGCGGGGGGCGGGTTTTTGTTGGGAGAGTCGAGGGAGAGACGCACACTTGGATTAGACTGGATAATAACATAGCATCTTAATTGTTAAGAAAACAAAAATGAAACAATATAAATCAAGTAAGGTACTTACTGGAAATAGTTCATTTCAAAGCTGGTTTAACAATCACGAGTTTGCTGAAGGTACGGTCGGGCGGCACGGTGGCTGAGTGGATAGCACTCACGCCTCTCAGCTAGAAGGTCCTAGGTTCGAATCCCGGTCGGACCAGGGCCTTTCTGAGTGGAGTTTGCATGTTCTCCCTGTGTCTGCGTAGGTTTCCTCCGGACACTCCGGTTTCCCCTACCACTAAAAATATGTATGTGCCTCCTGTACTGGCGACCACACTCCCATCTCTGTGTGGAGTGAGAGACAAATGCCCAAAATTAACAATTGTAAACCGCTTTGAGACTCAGATCTGCAGTGAAAAGGCGGTATATAAATAAAGATTACTATTACTACTCACTGTCAGACGCACACACGGCTCCAAATAACAATTACGCGCATCAAGAAAAGGTAGGCTATGTAAATGGAACAGTTTAAAGTAAATTGCACAAAACTGACACTGAAAGAAGTGAAATGGTTTGCAATCAAATAAGAACTTTTTTTCCAAAAGTGGACCACCTCTCCGTGACCTACTGATGAATTGTTCAAGCAGAGTAGAAACGTCGCATTCGTGGGACTCATAGGCGTCTGAGCGGACAAGGTCAAACCCGTTCGACGCAAAACTCTTGACTTCAGGTCTTTAGAAGTTAAAGTTCTAAAGGTACAAGACGCCGTGGTTAAACAAGTATTTGGAGCGCGATATTGAGAAGGCATTTTCCCCCTTTTCCCGAAACACATCCAACGAGACAGTACAGGTCAGAGTGGTGGTTAAGCTAACCAAAATATTGGTGTAAGTATTTTAAGTCCAGAGCCATGAAAGCAATTTGGAATGTAATGTATTATTGGGTTGGGCCTATTGTCCTTTCAGTCTGTGGAATAGACTTTTTGAGGAACTTTCTTCCCCTTTCCTTTCTTGATCGTCATGTTGACTGCTGGAAGAAGTGAATAAAAAAGACACACCACAATCAATGTTGGTTTTCAATTATGGATCTGAGATTGGCCAAGGTCTCAGGAGATCACAAACTGCGGAGAGACTTGTGAGAAGGACTGAGAAAAGTTAAGTTTTTCTGAACAGTAGCACTAGTTTCTTAACAAGTTTGTTTGTGCCTCATATTTATAGATTATAGATAAAACACACACACCCACACACACTGATGCATATCTCAGAAATGCAGCACACGCCGTCTATATTTTCAGTGATTTCATGTACTAACACTTTTACACTATGTTGTTAGTGTTGTTTGAGGTTTCTGCACATAGGTTTGTTCTTTATGAAGCGGGCTGTTGGAATAACAAGTTAATTGTTTAGAGAAGGAGATTTATGTGATTCCATACCTAATATGAAAGAAGCTATAGGTTGGAAAGTGTGAATCCCTTTTTCTCCAGGCAGAGGAGAATGTGGAGGAGGAGAATCCAGACAAGAGACCAAGACCAGACCAAGACCAGCCCAGACTCCAGACCGAGACCAGGAACTGGCTGATACGACACGCCCCTTCTGCAGATTATACTTATACTGATTTTGGTGATGTTTGAGAGTCAGTCAGATAGGGTGAGCCCATAGGGAAGAGAGCAGGCATAGTTAGAATAGGACCTTTTTGAATTTCTGTATCTGATTGTAAAGAAAATTAAATACAGATGTTTAACTTGGAAATCTTCGTCTTGTTTTCTGCATCAAATTTTGACACAAGGTTTTTTTAGACAATAACACACACAAATTAAAAGGAGAAGTACACATGTATTTCTAATTAGAAGAAGAACTGAATCAAACTGAGACTTTTTGGACAGAAGTTGAACAAGATGAGCGACATGGCTGAAGAATCTGATAATGTTCCTCAAAAAACTCGGAGAAGCAAAAACAAAGGTGAGCAGCTTGTCTTTTTAATAGAAGTAGTATTTACTCGAGTACTTGATGTTACAGTTGTGATGATGGGAAGTGTGTTTTAGCAGAGTTTGAGTCTGAAGACAGTCCACAGAGAAGATGGAAGCTCTCTGTGGTTCTGCTGCTGCTCATGCTGTTACTACTACTACTACTACTACTACTACTACTACGGCTATGGCTACTACTACTACTACTACTACTACTAGGAGAATGGCAAATGTATTTAAAAAGCAACGTTCAGCAACCCTGGGAGCTTAACATGCACATTGGGAATCAAAAAAACATCCATCCATTTTCTTTCCCTTAAATTAATCTATTTAATGTAACCCACAACCATCAGGCTCAAAGGCCAATGCTCTACCAACTGAGCCGCTGTCGCCCCTGGAGGTACAGTAACAGTACCGGAATAATAATAAAAAAAGAAATAAAGCTGCAAGCAGCAATGAGAGCCCTCGCCACTCTCACAACCACCTCCCTGGAACAATATATTTTACTGTAATCAAAAAAGTGCTTCACAAGAGCAAGTTAAATTTAAGAGATCTGAGAGGTCCATGAAATGTACAATTATTTCATATTAAAACAGAGCAACATAAAAGTATAGGGTTTGTAAAAAGCAATAAATAGTACAAAATAGAATCAGTTATATGTTGTATATACTGTATATATTTCCATCCATCCATCCATCCATTTTCTACCCTTTAATCATTTCTGGGTCAGGGGGGTGGCAATCAGAGATGCCACCCAAGTCTCATAGCACCAGCCTATATATATATATATATATATATATATATATATATATAATGTGTGTGGTAGACAAAGGGCAGAGGGCAGCCGTGGTGGTGGACGTGGCAATTCCAAGCGGTAACATCCGGAAAAAAGAACATGAAAAGCTTGAGAAATACCAAGGTCTCAGAGAGGAGCTGGAGAGGGCCTGGAGGGTAAAGGTGACAGTAGTGCCCGTGGTGATCGGTGCACTCGGGGCAGTGACCCCGAAGCTAGAAGAGGTTACAGCGGATCCCGGAACAACCTCGGACATCTCGGTCCAGAAATGTGCAGTGCTAGGAACAGCAAAGATACTGCGCAGAACCCTCAAGCTCCCAGGCCTCTGGTAGAGGACCCGAGCTTAGAGAGGGATAACCGCCCGCGGAGGGCCAAAGGTGAGTGGACAATTTTAATTTTTATTTTATATATATATAGTGCCTTGTGAAAGTATTCGGCCCCCTTGAACCTTTCAACATTTCGCCACATTTCAGGCTTCAAACATAAAGATATTAAAATTAAATTTTTTGTCAAGAATCAACAACAAGTGCGACACAATCGTGAAGTGGAACGAAATTTATTGGATAATTTAAACTTTTTGAACAAATAAAAAACTGAAAAGTGGGGCGTGCAATATTATTCGGCCCCCTTGCGCTAATACATTGTAGCGCCACCTTTTGCTGCAAGTCACTTGGGGTATGTCTCTATCAGTTTTGCACATCGAGAGACTGGAATTCTTGCCCATTCTTCCTTGCAAAACAGCTCGAGCTCAGTGTGGTTGGATGGAGAGCGTTTGTGAACAGCAGTCTTCAGCTCTTTCCACAGATTCTTGATTGGATTCAGGTCTGGACTTTGACTTGGCCATTCTAACACCTGGATATGTCTATTTGTGAACCATTCCATTGTAGATTTGGCTTTATGTTTTGGATCATTGTCCTGTTGGAAGATAAATCTCCGTCCCAGTCTCAGGTCTTTTGCAGACTCCAACAGGTTTTCTTCCAGAATGGTCCTGTATTTGGCTCCATCCATCTTCCCATCAATTTTAGCCATCTTCCCTGTCCCTGCTGAAGAAAAGCAGGCCCAAAGCATGATGCTGCCACCACCATGTTTGACAGTGGGGATGGTGTGTTCAGGTGATGAGCTGTGTTGCTTTTACGCCAAACATATCGTTTTGCATTGTGGCCAAAAAGTTTGATTTTGGTTTGATCTGACCAGAGCACCTTCTTCCACATGTTTGGTGTGTCTCCCAGGTGGCTTG